TCTTTTGTCTTTAATGTTGTCCATTTCATCCACTTCTCCTCCATTTGAGTTTGCTGAAATCTCAAATGATTTCTTTTTTTCTGTAATGCAGATTTCTTCGCAGCTGCAGCTCCACGTCTGTGGAATGCCCTCCTAGACCACCTTAGGGCCCCACAGACGGTGGATTGTTTTAAGAATGGACTAAAAACTTTACTTTTTAGAAAAGCCTACAATTGTTGATTTTAGATTTTTTTTAATAGGCCACGTATGCCTTTTAATGTATTGATTTTAATGATTGTCTTTTTACTCTGTTTTTAATGTTATGGTCTTTTAAACTTGTTTTAATTTTCCCTTTTTTAAATGTAGCACTTTGAGAATTGATGTCAAATGTAAAGTGCATTATAAATATAATTCATTATTATTATTCTTCCACCTTTTTTCTTGACTTAATCACTTTTTTTTTCTACTTAATTTACAGTAGGTAATATATCATCCAGGGGCTCATCTTATTGGGCAAATGCCAAAATAAGATGTACAGCCATGTGGCAGCATCTTAGCTGAATGGGTGGATATAGATCTTGTGCTTGTAGACCTCGCTGAGGGATGGGGGACTCCATTTGTAAGGGGAATGCAAGTGATCAAAAACAGTAACTTGCCCTATAAAAGGTTAAAATAAAATAAGTCACTGTAGCTCACTTCGAATTGGGAAGCAGAATTTTCTGGAAGTCTTACGTTAACTGTAGAAGGGCAACGGCTGGAACATCTTACGTAACAACAAAGACAGGTTCTAGGTCAGCTGATACCTGCAGACCTTATCAGATCGCAGATCTCCCTTACTCATCCTTATGAAGAAATTCTCCTGAGTTCTGAAGACTTTAAGCTGAGTGTTCTTCTTTGGAAGTGGCTCAAAAAAGAAAAGTACTGATTTTATGATCGTTTTACTGCAGGCATGTTGGGGCACATGCTTGTGGTTTTTCAACTTTCTGATCTCTCAAGACAGCGAGCTGCTGCTCCTTTCCTTCATCACGTTTTTTTTCCTAATCACCACATCTGTTATTTAGATTTTTATATATATATATATATATATATACACATACTTTTTGTTTTTTTACTTAGACATTTTGTTTTGAATATGTGGGTTTCTGAGGAGCCGCCATCAGTCATCAGTATTTTACCTGTAGAAGCCTTGTTGTTGCTGACTTCTGTTGCCTTTTATACAGAACTATAGACGCATCTGCTCATTTACAATAATTGTATCTCCATTACAAATAAATAAATAGAAACTTTGTCGGTATTCTACTAATGTTGAATAAGCACAGGGTTCCTACAGCATAAGGCAAGTTAAATTCAAGACTTTAAGACTTTTTAATGCCACTTGAAATAAAAATTTAAGACCAAATTAACAAGAAACATAAGAAAAGCCTGCTTGCGACAACTTAACCCAAAGATTTATTTTAACATAAATAGGGTGGGAATTTGAAGAAAAAGAAAATTACACAACATAAAAAAGTACAAATCTTGAGTTTTATTTCAAGCTCTGATTTTTCCATTTACATTTTTCCTCTTACATAAAAAAAAAATGTCAGTGTCTAATATTCACTGTTACATTGTGAGAACCTTTTTACTTAGCAATTTTCCTTTAGAAAAATTAACATGTCTGCTTTCTCAGGATACAAACAAGCCCACTGAATGGGATCCTACTGACAGCGCACCGCCGGTCTGAGCACCTCCGACAGAAATAATATTAGAAGGCAGGATGATAATCTGGATGAACTGACTGCAATGATGAAATTTTCAGGTGGACTTTCTCACTTAAAAACATATTAAAACTACTTTATTCCCACTGATCACAGCAAATATAGATGCAAGGCAGAGGAAGGATAGAGTAGCTCCGCCCAACGCGTGTCAGACACACTTTTGCACCGCGCAGCCAGAGCAGCAAAGCCGCTTCAGCCGTGCGTCAGAACTAACTGGTACAAGCAGCAAAAATGAAGCAGCAGACGCGATTTTGCTGCTCTTGCTGCGTCCAGTGTGAACGTAGCATTAAATAACTCCACAGTAGAGGCAGTCCGTATATGGAGGGGCAAAGTATTCCAAAGTCTGGGGCCAACTACAGAAAAGGCTCTGTCCCCTCTGGTTTTAAGCCTAGTCTTAGGCACTATTAACTGAAGATGGGCCTCAGACCTCAGAGCACGTGCCGGAGAATAAATCTGGAGGAGGTCAGTGATGTATTGAGGAGCCATCCCATTCAGGACTCTAAACACAAACAATAAAATCTTAAAATCAATTCAAAAACGAACAGGGAGCCAGTGGAAAGATGCAAGAACTGGTGTAATGTGTTGATGTTTTCTGGTCCCTGTTAAAAGACGAGCCGTGGCATTTTGGACCAACTGCAGACAGGAGAGAGCTCGGTGGCTAGTGCCTGCATAAAGTGCATTGCAGTAGTTGTGTAAAACCTGCTCAAAGAGGTTAAAAGATAAAAATGGTTTTACCTTAGATAAAAGACAGATGATAAAAACACGATTTTAAAAAGCTATTTAATTGTTCGTTCAGTTTAAAATCGCCCTCTATGGTGTCACCATAGAGGGCGATTTCGATCTGTTCCCATCGGAAATGACACAATGACACCGGTTTAGCCTTTTAGCCTACAACTGGGTTTACCTCTACAAGAATACAAAGCAGGCTGTTTTTCTATCGAAAATGAGTCAGAACCACGGGCGGAAATGCAGTGTTCTAGGCGACACGGAGAAAGGGGAACATTTTCACAAGTCTTCCCATGGATCCAAAAACTCAACAGGGATCGATTCTTTTTGTCCCTGCAAAGTTTGATGCTCAGCTGTTCATTTGCTCTATGATGCGTCTTTGCTAAGCAGCTTTGCTCGTTGTAAACCAACCAATTAGCACACAGCTCATCTAAATATTTATGAGCATACCATAAAAAGAAGGAAACCTGTGGTTTCATTCTAGGGCTTTTACCCAGGTTTGCATTAGGGCTCATGCAACAGCAAATATGCCATTTTCAGCCCAACCAATGTTACACACCCTATTCAGAGACCTTAAGGACCAGCAGCAAATACCCTCTAGAATCATTCTATGACCTCTTTAAGGAGCATAGAGAGGAGTCAGAAGAACCTGTGCCTGGATACATTAGTCGCTGCTGCCCATCATGTCTGATTTTGTCAACAGAAAAGAAGGAGCGAAAAAAAAGAAACCCAAAAATGCTAAAAGATTTTCCAGCTTAGGCACATTGTTCTATTTTTAATTTAAGAGTAAGTCTGTTGGCTTCACAGAAAACTAAAGGCAAAGCTGAAACCTTTAGGCAGAGCGGCAGATGTTCTTTGTAGCGTTCAGCACCATGAATAATAAACGTCTTGGAAACGACTTAATCTAAAGGTGTTTCTATGTAAACGTTTTCAACAAAACGCTGGCTTAATATTTTAAATCCAAAAGAACAGTATGGAGAGACATTTGTTCCGGTTTTATTGAACCAACAGTTTAAAAAAAAAGGAAGATTTGAAAAACAGAAATGGAACCTTAAAAAACATCTTAATAAAAAAAGAGGTTTTATTGACATGTAAAAGCTCAACAAAAACTTTTGCTATTTTTTAGACTATCCTTTAAAAAAAACAAAAAAGAAATGTATCAATTCATTTTTAAACGGTTTTTATTATCCGTTTTATGAAATACATAATTTTCTAATCTCACTTTACAGATTTTATCCTCTATACTTCAGGGCGGTCTGTGCGTGGACCAATAGAAATTAGTCTGCTCTGCTTGGAACTTAGCAACAACATTTCTATTGGTCAGTCGGGGGAACCAATAAAAATGGGTCTTTTCTGGGAGGATGTTAGAAACAGCTTTTCTATTCGGTCCAAACAGCATCAAGAAATTTCTGAAATATTTGAAAAGAGTACAGTTTTTAAAACTCACATTTCCTTCCCAAAAAACTGAAAGAAATTCTGGAAAAAAATACAATTTGAAAAACAAAACATAAAAAAGGGCAAACTCTAAACCTATAGATTTTTTGCATTCACTGACAAAATTCTTAATCCACAAATGTTTTTTGAGAGAATTTTGTCAGTGTTCCATTTCAGAAACATTTTCTTCATCCAGCCTTCTAGTTTTTTTTACTTGTTCTTTGCCTTCAACAATAAGGGAACAAATGTATCCCCATACAATAGAAATGAGTCTGCTTTTGCTTGAAGGTCAGCATAAGCATTATCGTGTAAAACAGGATTTAAATAGAAGGCCTCCTCCCAGAATCAATTTTGCATGCACATTATGAATTACTTTAAACTATTTCTTAACTGAGAAGGTTAACACATTTATTATTTAGATTACATAAGATTTTTTTTTTTTAAAGGTCTCCTTTTATTTCAGTAATATTGAAACAAATTTCTCTCCATAGTAAACCTTCAGTTCTGCCCTCTTTGATGTAGTACATGTTGAATTGTTCTAATGTTCAATAGAGGAGAGTTATAAATGTCCAATTAGTCCTTTTTAATTCATCTGAGTTCAGTTTGTTAACATGTTTCACCAACTCACAGCATCTCGTCTCACTTTCAAATGGAAAAAAGTCAACTCAATTGAATCAAACTGATTATTAGGACCCGTTTGAATGTGTGTACTTGGAATCTAACAGCTTTTTAAATGAGATCAAAGTTTTCTGCTAAGGAAACCCAGCAGATGGCCTCCAGTCACTGCAGCACTCCCTCCTGATGGAGGAGCGTGTAACCAAAGCAAACAGCTCCTTCCATTGTATCCGACTCTTAATGGAGAAATGACATTTCACAAACTCTTTGTTCCTATACGGAGGTTTTAGTCGCCTCATTTCCTTCTCTGCATAAACATACCTGTCCGAAGCTGGCCATGGAGTCCTGGGCGCCATCGTGTTCCTGGTGTCTTCTCCCATCCTCCAGGGAATAGACGGTCCCATCCGAGTCCTGCACACCTTCGTCTTTAACCACCACTCCCTCTCCTCCAAGCACCTGAAAAGACGAAGCTCCATGTCAATCCTGCAGCTGGTAACAGCGCTGAAAGGCAGAAAAAAGTCTGAAGAACAGTTGCACCCTTTAGGCAACAGCAGCTTCTAATCAGGCCATTCACTTACAGCTAATATGCAGAAGTCCATAGATTATCAAGGCAGCTGCTGCAGGAGTTGAGACAACACATTCAATTGTGCAAAGTGCAGAAACATCTCAGCGATATACGCCAATGCAGTATGAGAAGAGGGAAAAGCATAAAGAAAGCAAAGGAAAATGTTGCAGCTCTGCATGCCTGAAAGCTGTAACCATAGCAACCCTTTCCCTTATCCCCCTACCTGGAGTCTTAGCGGCTGCCTCTGCTTGCGGCTGTGGCTCGCCCCCCTGTCTCTGTCTCCATCTCTTCCCCGCTCCCTGCCGTCCAAGTCCTCCTCCTCGCTGTATCTGTCCATCCCTACAAGGTCATCGGAGAGGTCGGCTGCGTTGCCGCGGAGGCTGTCCCTGCCGACGCTGTCCACGCTGCCCACGCCGGAGCTGCAGCCCGCCGACAGGTTTCCTGTGCTACTGGTGCTGGCTCCGTTGGCCGTCTGTGCCAGCAGGTCACGGAGCTTGTACCGTACATCCTGAGTGCAACTAGAGGTCTGCTTCATGAGGACCGGACCGGCCCCCGGGGCCATCCCGTCACCGCCGCACATGGAGCCGGGCCCCATGTCCCCCAGCGCCATCAGACTAACCGTGTTATTCTGGTCCATGGCGCCTGGGCCGCTCTCGCTGACGCTAGCACCCCCTAACCCCCCACCCATGTTACTAGCCCCACATTCGGTCATGAAATTGGAGAAGTTTGTGTAACCTCCGACGGCTCCCGCGCTGCTGACGGAGCAGCTCCCACCGCTGCCCGTCTCTCTCCCTTTGCCCAGGCCACGCTCTTCTTGTTTGGGGAGAACTCCCCCAAGCATCCCCCCTCCAGCTCCTGTTCCTGCAGCTGCTGCGGCGGCGGCTGCTGCTGCCGCAGCTGCGCTCGCCGCCTCCGCAGCAGCCTTCCTCTGAGAGATGATCTGGGTGCACTCGTCGATAACCGTCTTGATCTGCAAGATGCTGGCAGCTGTTAGGATGCAGAGGGCCTGCGACTGCAGCACCACCAGGGAGCCGCTGTACATGAAGTCCACCAGCTGTTTCACGGTTTCCGCAGGCACCAGTGGCGGCACCGATATCTCAGAGTGACCCAGCAGAAGCTTGTCCTGGAAAAACGGGCTGCCGGCCGCCAGGACGCAGGCATGGGCCCTCAGGGAGGCATCGTGTATCCGCACGGTGACGTCGCAGAAGAGGCCCTCGCGCCGCTGGGTCCGCAGGGCCTCCAGGACCGACTGGCTGGAGTTGTGCAGATGGATGTAGTGTACGGTCTCTGTGCTGGACACCATGGCGGGGGGCGGAGAGTCGCTGGGGGCGGGATGGGAGTGGGGATGGGGGAGGGGGGTGAGGTGCCTCGGGTTTTGCGTCAGCTTGAGGTGCGAAGGGGACCGCGAGGGGAAACGGAGGCAGAGCTTGGGCCAAAACTCGGCCTCTCCGGCTCAAAACGTCATGAGTCTGACGGATGGATGTCAAAACTTCTGATGTGATGAGCGGCGCCGCCGTCAGGAGGAGCTTCCAAACTGCTTCACCGTGTCTCGAAAATCTATTGGAAAACAGTTAAAGCCGACATCAACAAAGGAGAAACAGTTTAAAAACACAAAAACAAAACTAGGTATGATGATCTCAGCAGGCAACTGAGCTCCCTGCCTTTGTTACAGTTTCTGCAGAACCAAAAAAGGCCCTAAAATAATTTAGAGACTCGTATAATACAACAATATATCAACTTTTAAAGGCTGTAAAGGAACTAAATAGAAAAAGTCCCAAAAAAAAAAAAAGTGTCACTGACATGCATGACGTACACTGACTAGTCTTATTTCACTAACTAGTAGCTGCAGTTGCATCAGAAGGTGAAAAAGTTGGGCGACCCAAGCAGCACCAAACCAGCCGCGTGCATCACCTGTTTCGTCTAAATGACAGCACGTGCTGCGCGCGAGCCCGACGGCTCATCGGGTCAGGATAAGTTGGCCGTTCCGCACAGCGGGTGGTCAGTGCAGAAATGCACGGGAGAATTTAAACGTTAGCTGCGAGGGGAAATGGGGGAAGCTCTGAGGACCGGGCTGGGTTTTTAAAACCAATGACAGCCCGCCTTCAATACAGCCAGTGAAGGTCCGCTCAGTTAGAACTATTTATAAATAGATAAACTGAGCGCCAGAAGCGAGCAAACAGGTTATCTGGAACGGGCTAACGCTAGCTAGCGTTAGCTACTGACGTTAGCGGTATAGTTCTAGCCCGGAAATGTGTCTTAGATGGTGAAAATCTGCACGGAGACAGCAATTCCGCCTTAATTAAAACACAAATGTTGTTATTTGATGCAGAATTATAAATGGCATCTTAGCTAGTGTGACTTAAAAGAGCTTGAGCTTAGCTCCCACGCTCCAACCGATGCTAACCAAGCTAGACTATTAGCCCACAACTAGTAAAGTTAGCATGCCGAACGGCTAACGATTTCTGCTGGTTTTTAAATAATGTTTGAAGCGTTTTAATAAAACACGGAAGGTCGGTTTATTCAGGGTGTCGTTAGTCCCAGCTACTCACCGGGGGAACAGACGGTGACAGCCTGCTAGTTTGGTGTCAGATGCAGCAGGAAGCCCTCATGTAGCGCTGCAGCCAGTCTGCTTGGAGCTCAAACAAACACAAATGCTCTCAGACACACAGCCGGGGAGCCTCACACTGACAGACGCAGCGAGCCGCAGAAATAAAAGGCTTTCTCTCGGAAAAAATGCACTAAACCACCCCGACAAGTTTTTTTTTCTTTAAGGAACCCACATGAAGTAGTCACTTTCTGCACGAAGTGGGACAAATACCTTCATCACGCTGCTGAGATAACACACCTCCACACCCATGCAGTCTGCAAGCAGAGCATACCTGAAAGAAGCAGAACGCGTGGATTTTCACTCAGGAGTAACCAATTAAAAACCAGCGAATAAAGCAAATCATCAACCAGTAAAGGAGACATTTTTCATTATACTCTTACTTTAAACAGAATTTAACACTGAAATAAAATGAGTGTAGGAGCCAATAAATGATTAAAATTGTTTTTTGTTTTTGTGCATAATTTAGCTAAGTTTATTTTACTTTATTGTTTATTTATTTGTTTTATATATATTTTTTTTATTTTATTTTACACAGTGTCCTGTCTGGCAATGTGGCAATAAGAATAATTGTCTTGATGCCAAAAAGAGCCCAACAGATTTTACTTTCACAAGTGGAGCAGGATGGCAATTGCCATATTGCTTCACTTGTTTCATGCATATAAATTGCTTTATTATAATTATGCAGGGAGTTTTACAGTTTATATGGACACTGCAATGTAAGTAGAACAGAAGAGGAAAAACAGAAGAAGAAAAAGAAAAAAAAGAGAAAAGATTAAAGAAAGAGGAGATAGAAAGGAGACAATGACAAAATATTTTCAGTCTGCTTCATCACCTGCAACGAGATGCAAAAAGAACAGCACAACCAAAAGACATGGCACGAGACATACAATAAAGCAACACCTTGAAACTATCGCTGAAGTAGTATTATTTAGTCTGACATGTACTCTGTGTTACCTGAAGATATGAATGTGGGCTTTCTGTATGGAAGTGAATCTCTGAGTACCTGGAACCAAGCACCTGTACTTTATTGTTTGATATCTGTTATGAGATATGTTTTTTGGTTATTTAATCATGTTCCTTTATTTTTTGGTTACTTAAGCTTAATTTAGGTTCATTATTTTTTTATAAATAGGCAGTCAATCATAGGACCTGCATGCATCTGGGTGGGCGTATGGTGTTTTTTTTTAACCAGCGCAAGAGAAACATGGAGGAAATGTTTGTCTTTTTTTTGTTTGCTTGCCTGAGGAAAAAATAAACTGAGAAAACTAAAGGAGTTTACCTGGAACATTTTATTTTGCCTCTGTAAAATAAGTCCCTGGTGCATCTGTGGACTTAGTGGA